ACTCCCTATGGGAGTGGTATGGCCATTTTTTAACATGGCATGGCTCAACTTCCCTGGATCCTCACCACCTGCAATGTCAAAGAGGAGAGAGCAAACTGATGGACTGGTGTGGTCAGACAGAGAGGAAAGCTGGTAATTTATAACCTTTCTTATCCCTTTCTCCCCCTTTCTGTTTGAGCTGCTGATTCAGATCTAGATTATTTGGATCTTTATAGTAGTAATAGAAATAAGTAATTCCTTTTGCCAATAAACATCTGATTGCCTATTATGTGCCAGGTGTCTTGCTACATAAATAAGACCGACTTAATATAATATACCTAAGTAACTAATGCTAACTATTCAGAGCTGTAACAAATGGAGTGTTGGGGTAGGAATGAAGAAGAAACAATTCTCTTGGGCTGGGAATGAGGTTGGGAAAGCTTCACGCAGAGTGGTAGCTAAACTGGGTCTTAAAGGAGTAGGAGCCGATCATACTGCTGACAAGATGAGGAAAGACAGGAAGGAGTAGCATGGATGAAGGGATGAAATCAGTTGGCATGTCTGGGAACTGGCATCTAGTTTGTCTGGCAGGAAAACAGATGCATATAAGAAATAGTCATGGACAGGACTGGAAAGGCCAGCCAGAACCCAGCTATGAAGGACACCGAATGCCACATAAAAGAGCCTGGGCCAAATCCTGTAGGAGACGGGAAGCCGAAGAATTAAGGAGGAGAGAGGGGCGCCTGGGTGGCTCAGTTGGTTAAGCGACTGCCTTCGGCTCAGGTCATGATCCCGGAGTCCCGGAATCGAGTTCCGCATCGGGCTCCCTGGTGAGCAGAGAGTCTGCTTCTCCCTCTGACCCTCCCCCCTCTCATGCTCTATCTCATTCTCTCTCTCAAATAAATAAATAAAATATTTTAAAGGAGGAGAGAGATCTGACCTGATCTGTCTTTTCGAAGGTTAAATGTGAGAGCTGAGAGGAGGGTGGGTCAGGCAGGGACTGGAATGGGAAAGCTACTAATAAGCTCCTGCTGGAATAAAGGTGAGACACAGCAGAGGGTGCCAGGCATTAGGAATGCAGAGCAAGGGGAAGAACTGGTAGACTGATCAGAGCTCAACATGACAGAAAGACACATGCCTACAAACTAAACTGCAGGAATGATCCCTAGGCTGGAGGCTTTGGGAGGACCACTCATCACTGTGGAGACTTCAGGTAAGATTCCTGCACGGAACAGTTCGATAAACGTGCCCTACTGAGCTTCCCTGGACTCCCTTGGAGAAGAGAACTGAGAAAACTGGGGTTAGAGACTTAAACTCCGTCTCACCTCCTAGTGTCATGGGGACTGGAAATGGTTGCTCTCTACACAGTTTCCACTTTGGCTTTCCACAGTGAGATCCTCTGGGTAGTATCATTTTAGTGACTCTTGAGTTAGTCCTTCAAGTTCTCAGAGACAAGTCTCCCTCACCCCAACCTCCTAGATTAGACAGGATCATTCTCCATGCAGTGTCAATGAGAGGTGGAGCTTGGCCTGAAAGTTCTAAAGAGTCTATGGCAAATGAGGACTAAATGAAAATACATTTCTCAAGCTAAAGCATTCTGATAACTATTTTAAAATAGGGAAGGTAGCAAGATGACAACTATGCAAATGTAGTAAGTTATCAATTATGTTAACATAGCCCATCCTTAACAAAAACAGGACCTTTTAGAATATAAACCAAGGAATCACTTCAAAGCCAAAAAAGACTACTACTTTTGAAAACCATACAGTGAAAGGTTAAGACACATTATTAACTGGTTTCTACTCAGCATGCACGAGGAAAATACTGCAGAAGTGATCAGTTATCGGGGCTCCTGGGTGGCTCAGTTGGTTAAGCATCTGACTCTGATCTTGGCTCAGGTCATGATCTCAGGGTTGTGAGACTGAGCCCCTCATGGGGCTCATACTCAGCGTAGAGTCTGTTTGTCCCTCTCCCTCCCCCTGCTTGCCTGCTTGCACACACTCTCTCTAAAATAAATAAACTAATAAAAATTATTTTTTTAAGATTTTATTTATTTATTTGACAGAGAGAGGCACAGTGAGAGAGGGAACACAAGCAGGAGGAGTGGGAGAGGGAGAAGCAGGCTTTCCGCTGAGCAGGGAGCCCGATGCAGGGCTCAAGCCCAGGACCTGGAAGCATGACCTAAGCCAAAGGCAGACACTTAATGACTGAGCCACCCAGGTGCCCCCAAATAAAATCTTAAAAAGAAAAAGTGATCAGTTATTTCTCAAGCTATTTACTCAGGATTGTCTACTTTCAAGTAAACTTTCTTTTTAAAAATTTTTATTTATTTATTTTTAAAAGACTGTATTTATTTATTTGAGAGACAGAGAGCGAGGGAGAGAGCACGAGACGGAGGAGGGTCAGGGGGAGAAGCAGACTCCCCACTGATCGGGGAGCCCGAGGTGGGACTCAATCCTGGGACTCTGGGATCATGACCTGAGCTAAGGCAGTTGCTTAACTGACTAAGCCACTGAGGCACCCCTCTTTTCAAAATTTTTTTTTTAATTTTATTTATTTATTTGACAGAGAGAGACATAGCGAGAGAGGGAACACAAGCAGGGGGAGTGGGAAAGGGAGAAGCGGGCTTCCCGCGGAGCGGAGCAGGCAGCCCGACACGGGGCTCGATCCCAGGACCCCGGGATCATGACCTGAGCTGAAGGCAGACGCTTAACGACTGAGCCACCCAGGTGCCCCTCAAAAATTTTTTAAGATTTGTTTTAAATTCAAGTATAATAAAATACAGTGTTAGTTTCATGTGTACAATATAATGATTCAACAATTCTATACATTACTCAGTGCTCATCATGGTTAAGTGTGCTCTTAACCCCTTCACCTATTTGACCCCCCACCCCCACTTACCATGTGGCAACTGCCAGTTCTCTATATTTCAGAGTCTGTTTTTTTGTGCGTCTTTTTTCTCTGTTCACATGTTTTATTTCTTAAATTCCACATATGACTGAAATTATGTCTTTTTCTAACATTTCATTTAGGATTATATCCTCTAGATTCATCCCTGTTGTTACAAATGGCAAGATTTCATTCTTTTTTTTTATGGCTAATATTCCATAATGTGTGTGTGTACACACACACACACACACACACACACACACACACACACACACTGTCTTTATCCATTCATCTATGGAGGGACACTTGGGTTGCTTCCATATCCTGGCTATTGTAAATAATGCTATAATTAATTTTTTGAGGAAGGGCGCCTGGGTGGCTCAGTTGGTTAACCGACTGCCTTCGGCTCAGGTCATGATCCTGGAGTCCCGGGATCGAGTCCCACATCGGGCTCCCTGCTCGGCAGGGAGTCTGCTTCTCCCTCTGACCCTCTTCCCTCTCGTGCTCTCTGTCTCTCATTCTCTCTCTCTCTCTCAAATAAATAAATAAAATCTTTAAAAAAAAAAAAAAAAAAAAAAAAAAATTAATTTTTTGAGGAATGTTCATATTGTTTTCCACAGTGGTTGTATCAGCTTGCATTCCCACCAACAGCATATGAGGGTTCTTTTTCCTCCACATCCTCACCAACACCTGTTATTTCTTGTGTTTTTTATTTTAGCCATTCTGACAGATGTGAGGTGTGCATTTCCCTGATGACGAGTGATGCTGAACATCTTTTCATGTATCTGTTGGCCATCTATTTGTCTTCTTTGGAAAAATGTCTATTCATGTCTTTTGCTCTTCCCCTTTTTAAAAAGATTTTATTTATTTATTTGAGAGAGAGCAAATGAGGAGGGGGAGAGGGAGAGGGATAAGCTCAGCAGGGAGTCTGACATAGGGCTCAATCCCAGGACCCTGAGAATATGACTTGAGCTAAAGGCAGGCACTTAACCGACTGAGCCACTCAGGTGCCCCCTTCTGCCCAATTTTTTAACTGGGTTATTTGTTTTTTTGGTGTTGAGTTGTGTAAGTTCCTTATATATTTTGGATACTAATCAAATATATAATTTGCAAATATCTTCTCCCACTTGGTAAGTTATCTTTTTGTTTTATTGTTTCCTTTGCTGTGCAAAAGTTTTTTATTTTGGTGTAGTCCCAATAGTGTAATTTTACTTTTGTTTCCCTTGCCAAAGGAGGCATACTTAGAAAAATGTTTCTATGGCTGATGCTAAAGAGCTTACTGCCTATGTTTCCTTCTAGGAATTTTATTTATTATTATTTTTTAAAGATTTTATTTATTTGAGAGAAAGAGAGAGTGAGAGAGAGAGCCCAAAAGGGGGTAGGGTCAGAGGGAGAAGCAGACTCCCTGCTGAGCAGGGAGCCCGATGAGGGACTTGATCCTGGGACTCCGGGATCATGACCTGAGCCGAAGGCAGTTGCTTAACCAACTCAGCCACCCAGGCGCCCCTCCTTCTAGGAATTTTATGACAGGTCTTACATTTAGGTTTAATCCATTTTGAGTTTATTTTTGTGTGTGGCATAAGGAAGTGGTCCAGTTCCATTCTTGTCAATGGAGCTGTCCAGCTTTCCCAGCACGATTTGTTGAAGAAACCATTTTTCCCTCATTGTATATCCTTGCCTCCTTTGCCATAGATTAATTGACCATATAATTGTGGGTTTACTTCTGGGCTCTCTATTCTGTTCCACTGATCTATGTGTCTATTAAAATTTCTTATATTTGATGCAAAGGTTTTCTACAATGCTAACAGAGTGGAGTATAAGCAGTATCCAGCTTTAACATCTATGAATGTTCATGCCCCATCTCAAAAAACATATTAAATATTTTATAATATAGTCAACTTAGAACCATATATATTTAAGCCAAAAGCTGTGTCTGAGTATGAAAAAAACTTCAAAGTTCAAATGTTGCCTTTGGCCTAAACTGGAGATTAGAAGCCAGGCCCCAAGGTCTATTTCAGAGTTTTTTCCTAGAGTAAAGCTTTCAGTCAGTTCTCTGGTTGGCAGAGTGGTACCTTGCCAAATGGCTACAACTCATTTATCAATTGGGCCTTTGGGCTTGTAGGCTAAAAACAACTTGGATCCTCCTCGTCTGGCTTGAAACACCGGCGCCGCCAAGATGCCGGCTTACCACTCTTCTCTCATGGACCCTGACACCAAACTCATTGGAAACATGGCACTGTTGCCTATCAGAAGTCAGTTCAAAGGACCTGCCCCTAGAGAGACAAAAGATACAGATATTGTGGATGAAGCCATTTATTACTTTAAGGCCAATGTCTTCTTCAAAGACTATGAGATTAAGAATGAAGCTGATAGAACCTTGATATATATAACTCTCTACATTTCTGAGTGTCTAAAGAAACTCCAAAAGTACAATTCCAAAAGCCAAGGTGAAAAAGAAATGTATACACTGGGAATCACTAATTTTCCCATTCCTGGAGAGCCTGGTTTTCCACTTAATGCAATTTATGCCAAACCTGCAAACAAACAGGAAGATGAGGTGATGAGGGCCTACTTACAGCAGCTGAGACAAGAGACTGGACTGAGACTTTGTGAGAAAGTTTTTGACCCTCAGAATGATAAACCTAGCAAGGGGTGGACTTGCTTTGTGAAGAGACAGTTCATGAACAAGAGTCTTTCAGGACCTGGACAGTGAAAGGAGCCTGAGCAGACACTTTCCACAGCCGTGGGCAGCATTTTACAGCAAGATGTACACAGTTATTTGCCTTTATTTGATAAAGTTTTATACAGAGAAGAGAGCATGTCTTCACTTGAAGAGCTCTTTATCAAGAATTTTGGGGCGGGGAGGGAAGAATGGGTGATTTGAAATTTTCTGCAGTATTAAGCTGGTGCTTAATAAAAATAAGTAAGAATAAAGAAATTTCTAACATTCCATGTAAAAAAAAAAAAAAACAACTTGGATCAAGAGCCAATAGGAAGCATAGGGCGAAAGAAACTGAATGAAGGTGAAAAACAACAAACAAGTAATGTATGGGGTTTGTGAGTGAGTGAGCAAGAAAGGTGAGGCAGAAGAGGGCATGGGGTAAAAAATGGCTATTATTATAAAAAAAAAGCAAGGTTCAAAGGTACTACAACAGAGGTGTTACAATTATAGTTAACCACCTAAAATACCTAGAAGATTTTATGTCCAAATGTAAAATTCAAAGTCTCATTAAAAAACTGGTTATCCATGCTCATAGCTAACCATGTAGAAAATTCAAAAAATAGAAAAAAAAAAAAAGCCCCCTGTATTCCCATCCTAACAACCAATGCTAATTAATATTTTAGTAATTTTTCTTCATGTTTGTTTCTTTGTTAAATGTTTATATAGTTGAGAGGTGCCTGGGTAGCTCAGTTAGTTAAGTGTCCGACTCTTGATTTCAGCTCAGGTCATGATCTCAAGGTTGTGAGATGGAGCCCCACAACAGGGTATACACCGGGCCTGGAGCCTACTTAAGATTCTCCCTCTGCTCCACCACCCTTAAAAATTTTAGGTAGTTGAGATTTAAAAATCTTCAATCTAGGGGCACTCGGGTGGCTCTTGATTTCAGCTCAGGTTGTGATCTTGGGGTTGTGAGATCAAACCCCACATCAGGCTCTGCACTCAGCGAGGGGTCTGCTTGGGATTCTCTTCTTCTCCCTCTGCTCCTCCCCATACTTGTGTTCTCTCTCTCTAAAATAAATCAATCTTTTTCTTTTTTTTTTTTATATTTTATTTACTTATTTGACAGAGAGCGAGAGAGTGTGAGCACAAGCAATGGGAGTGGGAGACAGAGAAGCAGACTCCCCACTGAGCAGGGAGCCCGATGCGGGGCTTGATCTCAGGACCCTGGGATCATGACCTGAGCTGAAGGCAGACGTTTAACTGACTGTGCCACCCAGGTGCCCCCAAAACAAATAAATCTTTAAAAAAAAAATCTTCAGTCTATACAATTTAATTAAATTTTGTGAATAAGCAATATATTAATATGGTTCAAAATCTAAAAAGTGTAATATTCCATTGGTTTGGTTCTTTTCTCCCATTGTCCAAAGGACAGGATACAGTTTTAAAATGTG